ACTAAACAACATATATGATCATATGAATATTGATTACCTGTTGTCGCCCGTAGAAATTTTTCTAGGGGGGGGGGCAATGTTAGGATTTGAGGATAAATATTATAATTTTACTAGGTGTTTTAAAATAATAACATTTTATTATACTCGTATACAATGTATTATATTTTATTATATTACAACTTATTTTATACTTTAAATTTGTTGTATAGTAAATAGTCATTTATCTTAAAACATTCAATTAAAAAAAATATTTTGAAAAAGCRAGGGGGGCAAATGCCCCAGCTTGCACCCCCCTGCGGGCGCCTATGGTTGGCAGTTACTTTAGCTTATACATTTGACTCATTTGAGTATTTGACATTACACAGCAGACGCTACGGAGCGAGAGCTCATCGAAAACAATAAATAATTGTGTGTGTCAGACAATTGTGTCTTTTTGATTTACGCTATACTCTGCGGTATTTTCACCGTAAGGTCCGAATGGGTTTTTTACCGCCACGGTTTTTCTAACGAATCTAGCCTTAATCGTCTAGTTATATGATTTTATTTATAAATGGGTAAATATTATAATATGAAAATAATTATTAYGACCATCTATATATTTTATTGACACACACAAATGSGGTGGTATGCTTCCATAGTTCMATGTATTATTTTTACATCAAAACCAGCGGTATCGATGCACTGTTATATTATTCTTATATTCTACAACTATGACTAATATGAGACAATTGAAGATGCATCTCCAATTAAAACGACTTTAGATAATGAATATTTCAAATTGTATAGATTGTTAATGCGTTTTAAAAGATAAATTAAATAAAAATAATTTTCAGATTGGCGCCCCTCCGTGATGACGCCCTGGGCAGTCGCCCAGGTCGGCGAGGTCGCCCATAGCTTTCGCCGGCCCTGTATGCGTAGGTAATATTTTATTTTTCACAAAAATTGATATGATAATAAATCCAGGGGAGCTGCTCCGAAGCCCCACCCTATTTGCACCTATGCTCATTAGTCTAGTCTTTACCAGGGTCCGGGACTTAAAAACACAATAATAAGCGCTAAAATGTGCACTTAAAAACCCTGGAATAAGCATAAAAATTAAAAATATGCATTTTATATAGGTATTTATTWTTTTATTAATATCTAATTATTAATTACAATTAGTATAACATTAAAAATGTATAAAGTAATCAACTGATTGTTTCTTTAATTTCCGAGTTTTTTAATTTTATTCGTAAACTATATAATGATGGGAAAAATTTAAAATAAAATAAAATAAATAAATCAATAAATCAATAATTTTATATTTATGTGTCTTACCTCCATTGTTACATCGAATAATTAAATGATTCCGTAAGTTTTCAAATGTAAATGCTCTTCGATTGATAACAGAGTTTTGTACGATGAAAATGACCTTTCGACATCCACTGAAATAGTCTGGGCATATTTAAAGTATACCAAGTCGTTGCATGAATAATCCTTCAGGAAATGAGGAAACTGACTCATATCTGAAATTTTATATTCTCCTTCYAAAATGTTTGATATTTTCTCTAGCACTTCAAGACCTTCATCTGCATCATTTTCATCTTGGGCATTTATTACACTACACATTATTTGGAAATGTTCACACTGTTCACAGTAATAAATTGTCGCTTCGAGCCATGTYCCCCAACGTGTTAAGATAGGTTCTGGYGGTAATCTAATTCCCAGAACTATCGATAAAAAGTTTCCCTGCTCCTGTGGTTTGTAAAATTACCATTAAAATGTATGATAAATATAATATGTTAATTATAACTTATTAATAACTGATCGACATCGGTGGCTGCCATTTTGATGATGTACGTAATGTAGACAGATGACGAGTGTAATTACCGTCTACGGGAAAAGTGTAATACAGTATGAATAATATGATATTTATGAATACCTACTTTAAATTTTTTCAAAACCTCCCCGAAATTTTTTCCTGCGTTCGCCCATGGTCAACAGTATTGAATTGTCCAGGAATTCTTCAGCTAGCTGATGAAGYGCGTGTGCACTACAAGTGGTGTGTATCATTTTGATATATACATTTTTGAGAACTGAATTGGCCTTTATCATGTAAGGAGCTGCGTCGGATAAGAATAGTAAGACGTTGTTGTACATAATATCTTCAGAGTCCAGACCATTAAAGACTTWACAAATAGTATTACGATTTGCTTTTTCTAACTCTTCTGTGTGCAGTAGAAGTGACTGATCAACACAATMTGACTTCAGAATTCCAACAATAACATTTTCTACAAATCATTTTTCTAATCATGTAAGTTATAAGGAGTTGTGAGTTGTGTATTGTATATAGGTAGCTACCTAAGATTGTATTACTATTTTCTTTTYTAGATAGGTTCGAATTTTGAATAATTTTCCAAAAAATGCAAAATAAGCGCAATAACGCCCTGACCTATAGACCTTGATTTATATAATCGATACTTAATTTAAAATTTAATCGTGTAGTTTCTCAGACTATAATATCAGTTTTAAGCAGATGCCCCTAATGGCTAATATTGGCTTTAGTTTTTATCATATTATCTGRACAATTTATACAAGGGTCTTGTCTATKATATTCTGTCTACCTACAGTCTTTTATAATCATATGCATACATATATAAACAATATAAGTATAATATATATGTCTATGATTATWTATAGTATATGGCTGTTTACTAATTACTATTTATAAACAGAGTATCCTTATTCTTTATCCATGGTTAGTTCGTGATAAATAATATAATAATATWATATTATAYATGAACATGATAGAAATAACTAGTTATTTCTATCATGATATTATAAATTTTACTATTCATTAYAATATTCTGTATAATATGCACATATTGCGCATAATATAAGCATATTACGAGTTTCGTGATAAGTGTTGTCACATTTAAAAAAGTCTTTATCAGCGATCGACCGCTCGGCACCGTGCACATCTCTTCATTTCTCTTTGCGCGCGTACTACCGCCGGCCCAGTGGATTTTGCCGTTCTTCTTTCGATGTAAGTCGATTTTCTCTAAGGAGCGTCACAAACGCCCTTTTAACAGATCAACTCGGCCCTAGCATTTGGAGGTCGTCAACGTAGGTTTCCAGTGTGGAACCATGGCTAACTCCGTGCGCAAGATTTGCACGAAAATCGGAAACGGTCATCAGTATTTGTTGGGCACGGCCAAAATGTCGGCGTACGGTGGTCACGTCGTGTTGGACGCCGTTCAGAAGCACTCGGTCAGACCGCAGGTAATCCGCTCTGTCCGTGACCTTAATTGTTCACCGATAAGGTCACCTGCCCAAGGGTGTTTCCTACAGTGGGGTGGTTCTTTCGTTTTCAGGTCGAGACAATCTGCAAAATCAATTATGCCGACAATTTGTTTCATCAATCACAACCGTTGCTCAACTACATGGTTCAACCTGTCAAAAACAAACAGTCCGTAGAAACGGCTGTTGAATGGTTTAACAGACACACAAACCCCAAAAATGATGTCTTCAACAGCACTAAGCTTAAACAAGACAATCTTTCAAAGTCTAATGAAAATATTAGCACATCAGATTCTAATGGGCTACCAAGTTTAGAACAGCTTGAACGTGTTTACAATAGGTTGGGAGAAGATGTAAGTTATCAACCTTATTAATATTGCTAAGATATTGAACTTGCATAATATTGATCATTCTGTCATATTATGTTCAGTTATATATTATTCTTTTTTATTTCAGTTACCATTATTGTTTAGACACAATTTGGATTATTCATTATACCATCCCAGATTGGTATTTGAGAATAACATCAGAGGAACAAAGAATGTGTAAGTAAATAAAGAAAAATAAGTTATATATTCAATTTAAAATTATTATATTTTACTTGTTTTTAGAGGATTAGAATACTTCATGACAACAATTTCTTTACTACGTTTGATGGGCCATATAAAGTATGCTTATGTAAAATTTGATATATTAAAAATAACCAAACATCCAGAAGATGGAACAATCAAAATACGCTGGAGAATCAAAGGTATATCAGGAATAAAAGTGTTCATGAAGTTTTGGAAATTCAGACTTTGGAATTTGGAACAAGTCATTAAAGAAAATGTAGAATCGTATGTGAATTATTCTTTATCTAATTGCATTATAAAATTTATTAATAAGTCAATAAATGAATAAATGAAAGTTATTATTATATTTTTTATTAAAAAATTATATTTTTAAATATTTTTTATCCTTATAATTTTTTAAGTTTTTTACTTTTTTGAATGRCAACCTAGAGTTTTAATTTCATATTCCAAAGCAGAATATTTTTCTAAGTATTTTGATACGTAAAAATCGAATTTTGGACGTGTAATTTATGAGTTATAAGTATTTAAAGTTTAGAGAAGTGGAGTAGTGGACAAACAGTTTGCGGAGTAACCCCGTACCACTCCACTCTCCCAATCTAAGGTTTGGCTTTTGCCAAGTAAAAAACTTAAAAAGTTATAAAGATAAAAAATATTTAGAAACATAATTTTTTAATAAAAACATTGTTTTTTTAACAGCATAAAACTTTGTAAAAAAATATTTTCAAAAACATTGATAATTTTTGAAATAATGAGTGGTTCATGATAAAAAAAATCACTGTATATATTGATATATTGTGTTATAATTGTAATAATGAGTTTCATATAATATTACTAGCTCCTATCAACTTATTATTAGTCAATATCGACATAATACCTCCGAAGAACAGTGTGAATAAGTTCATGATAAAATGGCTTAGGTTAATATGTTTATTTTTTAAAACTTTTGCTTTCTGATAGTTATAATTTAGTCAAAATAATTTAAATTAATCATTAGAAATATATTTTATTGTCTAAACTTATTTTTAATTTGCAGTTGAAATTTTTTTCAGAAATCTTGAATTTTTGTTTTTAAGTTTGATGTGATAAAATAAAATTTAACTACTATATAATTTACATAATATTTTCATACAAATTGGAACTTATACAAACTTCTATTTAACAAATTTCTCTTTATAAGAATTGTGTTGTTATCTGTTGAGACTTAGTAATATTGAAATTTCAGTGTAATGCCATACTGCCATTATACTCATACATATATACTCATTATAGTTTCAAAGATAAACATACTATTGATATATTTAATATGGATATTTTGGGTTGCAAATATATTATCTAGATTCCATAATATTACTTTGTAAGCAATAGTTTGAATAATTATTTGGGTTTTGTTAAGGAATAAAATTACTTATTAATTTTCCTGTTATAACACAAATTAAAGAATTGTCTAACAATGGTTATAAGAAGAATTCAATACTACCAACATAAAGTAATATTATTATAAATGTCATCTTTATTATTAATAACTCATCTGTGATTTGTAATTTTAGTGGTTAATTTATTAATTTTAAAAATAATTATTTTATTTTGTTCTAGGTGGTATGATGGGTTTTCAGTACTCTATTTAGGATCTGATGGTCTGGTTCATAAGCTTACTGCAGATAAAGTATGTTAATTTTTTTAAGTATTTTGTGGCTGCTAATATAAAGTTTTTATGTGGCCATGTTTATGTTTAGATGCAACCAGATAACAATAACCCACTACTAGAGGTTAAAAATCCATTGGCTACTAAATTGGCTCTATTTCTAGGACTATCACCACAGTTGAGTAATTTGGATTGCTTAATTTCATTTGACTCTGAACAGACAAATGAATTACTTAAAATGGTTATTATGTCCCTAGAAGATGTCATTTAATATTAATGGCAATATATAAAGTTATTTCATGCCGCATTAAAAATCTCCATTTTGTTTAATGTTTATGCCATTGAAACCTTATTGCTTGATAATATTTATATTATTAGGTATTGTTAATGTATGTGGCTGTTATGAAAAAATGTTTGTTGATTGTAAATTAGTTATATAAATAGATAGTCAATGAAACTAAACACTGTTAATTTGTTGTAATAAAAAGTGAACACACAAAATTGCTTATAGAATTACTAAATACTATAGATAAGCATTGCTATTGATCTTTGTGTAAACCAAGTATAACTAAAACTCTTAAAGATTTTACTAAATTTGTTAAAAGTATATCTAATGTCATACAATATTCAATATTGAGTACCTATTTATGTTTCTCAATTTTTGTATTTTATTAATTTGGTATTTTTAAGTAAATATGATACTTATTTATAGATGCTCATTTATTGTTAATAAACTTGTGTGACCATTGGCTATCATAAATATTTTTAATTTATTATAATATTATTTATATTTATAATTCCTATGATGCAGTGGCGTACGCAGGATTTTTCAATGGGGGGGGGGGCTTGAAAATTAATTACTATTTTATTTTTATTTTGTCCATTCTAATAATTGTAGACTTTTAGGTGAGGTATTTGAAAATGTTTGTACAACTTCAACATCTCAACTTTTCTAGTAGAAAAAATGCTCTAATCATAAACCTCGATGGGGGTTTTTGGAAGCAAATTAGATTTAGTTTGAAATTTGAGAGGTCAAAATTGAAAATTCTCAGTATTTTTTAAAACAATTGGATAAATGAAAATTTTTTTAGTAACCTTGCTTTTATTTCTAAAAATGTCAATAAAAAATTATTTGTTCGGTCAAAAAGCTTTAAAATGTAATACAAGGTTTTATTAAACCTAGTTATCTAAAAATATTAATGACATATATAGGCACGATTAGTTTTTATAAGTATTTATAGTTCAATTTTTGACAAAACCAGAAAAATTAATTTATAGATTAAAATTTATAAAATATTAAATTTGCATAGCTAAGGCTTGAAAATTCAATACAGGTCATTCATACAAGTAGTTCATACATTTACCAAAAAATTACCAATTTTTTTTAGGAAAATTGGTATGCAAATCAATGTTTTTTTTAAAATGAATTTATTCTGGTAAGACGTTTATTAATTTTCGTCTTGCTTATTAATAGCTGACGACAGTTGAAGTTTGATACATTTTTTTTTTAAGTAATACTTATGAGGTCAATGGGGGTGGGGGGGGGCTTCAGCCCGTTAGCCTCCCCCCTCTGCGGACGCCACTGCTAAGATGTATTATTATTCCTTGTATAATGTATATTGCACGTTATAATGTACTCAATCAATATACTTCTAAATTCTAAACTTCAATAATAAGACATTTTTCCCCACTATTTTTCATTTGATAAATAAAAAAATATAGCCATATAAGTTTTCTTTATTCACAATTTTAACAAACAATGATCAATATCCCAACAAAAACACTGTTCATTAAAAAAGTTATAATATCAAGTGTTTATTAATTTCCTAAATTCTTTAGTACAAAAATATAATTATAATTGTATTTAATGAAGTGTGTTTATTTCATAAAATACAAATAATTTAACTTACCTATGAACTAAGAAGACATTTTATATAAAAATTCAGTTAAGAATAATATTAACAATGTAAGCTAATTAAAAACTTTTTAATGATGAAAAAATATTATTTTATTATTAAAATAAGTCTTATATTCATCCAATTTTATATTAAACAGCACTTAAGTAGTGTTTGAATAACCAAAAATAAATGTTAAAGGAATTCTGAATAGTCATGCTGGTGACATACTGACATGTAACAAATTATCATTTAAACTAGTATTTTTTACTGGCAACTTTCTTGATAAGTGCTGTTCGTTGTTTATGTGCTTCTGTAATTGGCGCTTTTTTGTATGGTTTTAATTCATCTGTGCCAAAACCAGGTATCCACATATTTAAGTACCGTTCTGTAAAACATATACAATGGTTATAAATTTTATTCAAATTTTAATAAGATCATTTAAAATTTGACAAGTTTTAAAAAAATTATTTTAATAGTAACCTAAGTAAATTTGAACGTCTTTAACTTCAACAATATTTGATTTTCTATGTTTAGCAAACACACATGCTGCTTTGACTAATTCGTTGACAAAATCATCAGATAACTGCAACATAAGGTCTTCTACATCCTCTTCTAGCTGTTCATTTTGATCCACTTCTTTGACTAGTTCACGCAAACGTTCTTTTGTTAACAACTACAAAAAAAAAAAAAAAACAAATTATGTGTTTTCATTTAATAATCTCAAAATTAATAGGTTTTTTTAAACTAATGGCATAGTTTTCCAGTTTTCCATATTTTTCAGTAAAACGGTATACTTAAAATGTTTAATTCATCAAAAAACAAAAAAAAATAAAAAAAAAAATAAATACTAAACTTCATTTTCACAAAAATTGATATTACTGTTGTAGCCAAGTAGGTACCGTTTTTATTAGATCGGGACAAAAATAAAGCGGAGAAAGATGTGTAGACTACTACTACTTTTGATATAGGTACAATTTTAACAACCACTTATATTGATTTACATCCATGTGATAGGTTAATAGGATTATTTAGAGAAATACTTACTGCTGCATCGTCTGCATTTATCAAATTTTTAATTCCATGTTGTTGTGATGGTTGCTGTTGCTGTGCCATTTGTTGTTGTGGCTGCTGTGCTATTTGTTGTTGTGGCTGCTGTACTATTTGCTGATGTTGTTGTGGCTGCTGTACTACTTGTTGTTGCTGTTGCTGCTGTACTACTTGTTGTTGCTGCTGCTGTAATGCTTGTTGTTGCTGTTGTACTGCTTGTTGTTGCTGCTGTACTGCTTGTTGTTGCTGTTGAACTGTTTGCTGTTGCTGCTGCTGATGTACTACTTGTTGCTGCTGCTGCTGTACTACTTGTTGTTGCTGCTGATGTACTACTTGTTGTTGTTGCTGTAGTTGTATATGCTGTTGTGGCTGCTGTAGTTGTTGGGATTGCTGCTGTTGTTGAGGTTGTTGCTGTGTTGTTTGTTGTATAAGCTGTTGATGTTGTTGTGGTTGCTGTATACAATTAAATAATAAATAATTGTGAACTTATAGAAAATTTAGAAATTAATAACAAGACTATTTTAAATTTATAGTCAATATTTCAATAATATATATAATATTATAGAAGTTGGCACTTTATTTTTAGAACATAATATCAGTTATCAATACTCATTTATTACCCCTACTGACTTAAATATTTTTGTTATATATATTTATACAATTTTGTTAGTTATTTTCAAGATATAACTGTAACCTATATAAAGTTGATCAGTATAGGAAATGAAACAAGTAAAACTTAATTTTAAGTTCTTAAATTGGACATTATCTTTAAAATTGAAAATTTTCTATTTATTTTACATACATTTAAAAACGTTTCACTTTAAGCTTGTGGATATAGCAAAGATATCTCTTCAAGCATTAGTGCAGTACAGCAAAAACGACAAACAACTATAACTTCAAAACTAACTCTGACCACAACAGTTATAACACTAAAAAAAATATATAATCTAACCCTTAATAAGTCAACAAAAATAGTGGTGGTAGTGGCTTGGTGAGGCGCGGCTGTACGCTCAATCTGCCAAAACGCACCGAGCTTACCTACCAGTCACAGTTGCTAGCTTCTGAATGGGTGACCACTCTGGAGTTTTAGCAACATATCTTTGCCATATATACACAAATACATGTTACAACCTACCAACTTAAAAACCTATACAAAAATAGCCCCTACCGTTATACCCTACGTCCAATGGCCTATGTAGCAGCGGGTTCCCCTTAATAGAAAAAATAAAATAAAGGTGTCCTTTAAACATTTTAATTTTAAAGTAAAAGTTCCACTAGTTAAACAACAGTTTACTATTTACTATGGGCATTATGATTGATTGTATCTACCAATAAATCTTCAAATATTTTAGTTAAATAATTGTATTGTATCTTTAAAAGAAGTTAGAAGTTATTTTTGGTGGCTACAACTTAATAACCAAACTGATGTCAGTGGTGGTTCTTAATCCTCCATTAAATTTCAAGAAAAATTTGAAGGTGCTTTCAGGGTTCTGTTAACATATTATATAAGAGTATAGGATGCATGTATTAAAATTATAGATTTATTTTTAAAGGTTGCTGCTGAACTGCAAAAGTCTAAAATGTTATACATCCATATTGTTAGCATACAAATGTATGATAACTAGGGTTAGGCCTTCCTAATTTAACAAATTATCAGCTTCTTACCCATCAAGAAAAATCTTTGGTATATCATTGAATAGTAGTTAATTTTAAGCTAAGAACAATACTGGTGTTCCAGTTGGCTTTTTTATATCTTAATTTATGTACTATTTAAACGCAAAACTGTAATAATTTACACGCTCATAACTTACATAACAATTTAAATGGTATTACAAAATAGCCAATGCAGGATTACAGATAGTGTTCTTAGTTTAAAGTTTGATAATAATTGAATTTAATCTGATATTTAAAGTAATAATACAAGGTTGGTTCTGGTAAACATAAATTTGCTATATTGTGCTTGGGTCAGAGAGAAAACAAATAGATAGTACGCTGATATCCTTTTAATAGTGAGTGCAACTAAGCCAGGGCTTCAGAGGTCTCTGATAGGCACAAATAGTGTTTGAGATTTGAAGGGCTAAACCTCAGATTTATATTGGGCACTTTATTAACGCTATATGGCAGTGTATGTATGATGTTAGGTTTTTGGGGGCTATACAAATTTCAAGATGCTTAGGTCTCCCTTATTTGCGATTTTGGCTATGATATTAGAAATATTAAAAATTTTTAATTTGGTGAGACAGAATTCTTACTTGTTGCAACTGCTGTAATAATTGTGGTTGCGGTAGCTGTTTTATTTGTTGCTGTTGGTGATGTTTAATTTGTTGTTKTTGTATTAGTAGTTGTTTCTGTTGCATTTGTTGGAGCTGTTGTTGTTGGAGTTGGATTTGTTGCTGTTGAGTTGGTAGTTGTTGCTTCTGTTGGAGTTGTTGCTGTTGTTGGAGTTGTTGCTGTTGTTGGAGTTGTTGCTGTTGTTGGAGTTGTTGCTGTTGCAGTTGTTGTAATTGTTGAAACTGGAGATGTTGCATTACAATATTTTGCTGATTGGTTACTACTGAAGGGTTATTGAGTACAGATATTGTTGAAACGGGAGTGCTATTAAGAGAAGTAACTGTGGACACTGTCGTTTGGTTTACATGAACAACTGAAGACATGGGCGGATTGATAAGAGGCGCAACTTGTGGAACCAGTAGATTGCTGTGAGTTACGGGCGTCGTGGAAGGTTTGTTATTGAGAGACACAACTGTTGGAGATAGTTTGTTGGTAAGAGTTCCTACTGATGACATTGATGAACTTAAATTTGAAGATACTGCTGAAACAGGCGCATTGACAAGGGGCGCGATTGACGTTGACACCATTTCGACATCGGTAGTTTGAGTCTAGAATACATGAAGCATAAAATCGTCATGAACAGTAAATACATGAAAATCATCAAGCAAACTTACCACAAGTTGATCAATTTCGTCATCTGTTTCCATTGTCATTGCACTTCCGACGTCGTTTTCGACAGTACCACTTGAACTCATCATGACGCAGTCGTGAATTGTGTCAGCCAGAAATTTTACTGAACGTCTATACTCAATCGGCTACCTGCGGTTTCGTTKACGTACGATATTGTCTGTGTACTGGACGAAATAATAAATATTAGATTTGTCAAACAAGAATAATTATTGTAATGTTCCACTTTAAAGCGCCGAAAAGGAATTTTTGGCTATTTATGTCTTTTATTACTAGTATAATAACGTGTAATAGTTATGAATAATTAACCTGATACATCGATAATTTAAACTAAATAATATAATTTAATTAAAATATGTAGATTAATTTTTATATTACAAGTTTGTTCTTTGATGACAAATTTATAATAACAATTATAATATCTTGTTTATTATTTACAACGAAATATTGATAACATGTGAAATTTTATCTAATCTGTGACAACAACAACACCAAATAGAATTTGTTGGTAGAGAAGTCGTCAGCCTTGGTTGTCGGGTGGGGGCCGTGGAGGTGGAGGTAAAAAAAAAGGATTAGAATTTCGTACGACATAGACTTCTCGATGGAGCAGCAATCTAGCTTATTATCTACATGGATCTGTGATGATAATATTGATAACCATGATGTAGATAACSTTTCTATATCACAGGCATCTTAATTAGTAGTAGTTCTATACTACACGTGTATTTAAATGGATTGAAATGTACGTAGTACATGCCTAACGCTTACATTGAAGTCTTTTTAAATGTTCTGCTTTTACGTTTACAACTGTTGATACGTCTTTATTGTTGACTGTTTATTATACTAACTATTAACAGTCTCGTCGACACCCGATTTATTCAATATGGTGTACAAGAAACGAAAAATAAAAGTTTTTAGATCGAAAAAAAAGAAAGAGTCTATTGATGTCGTGATTGGAAAACTTAAAGAATCATACGAACGGGTAACGTTTTTAATATTTTATTACGACGTGTGTACGTTTTTCTGCACATCTAGTTTCATTATTTTAAATTTAAATGTACAACGCATTGACATTTTTTCATCCACAAAGGTTTTTACTTCATAGAAATTGATGTGTTTGTGTACAGAAGACATTTTTCAATTATTTTTATTCTTGCGAAAAAAAATATGAAATTTATATAGGTATCTACAAAATGCMTAAACTGTCATGTTTGGGTATCGATGATTGTTCATTATTATTTAAAAATATTTGTACTAGGTAGGAGATTAAGGGGATTGCGTAATTATTGTAGATTTTGTGATTTTTATAGAGCTACAAGACTACAACTACTCTGTATTAATTTTATGTCTATTATTATAATTTTGTAGAATATAATATAAAATTTGACTCAATTATTTTCTTTCAAGATTGATCCAAATGCAATTGAGAAATTCGAACATTTTCCCTTATCGGCACCAACATTAAAAGGACTGAAAGAAAACAAATACTTCCTACCTACTGAAATACAACGTGAAAGCATTGGTTATAGCCTACGTGGTGAGGATATACTTGGAGCAGCTAAGACTGGAAGTGGTAAAACACTAGCTTTTTTAATACCGGTAAATAATAAACTATTAGAAACTTTAAGATTTAACATGCTTATTTCATAATTAATAAATTTATCAGGTATTGGAAATATTATATTGCAACAAATGGAATCGAACTGAAGGTTTAGCAGCACTAATCATAACCCCTACCAGAGAATTAGCATATCAAATATTTGAAACATTGCGTAAAATTGGTGTTCATCACGATTTCTCTGCTGGTTTAATTATTGGTAAGTGTAATATTTTACATATTAATGGGTTAGAAGCAAAACAGAGTCAACAGTTATTGTGTATCTATCTTGAGTGAATATTCAATTTCAATAGTAAAAAAATAGGTCAAAAAATAATAAAATAGTACCTACATTGAAATCAGAAATAAACATTTTCTAGCTATTCTTGCTAAAAATATTGTATTATTTTAATAATTTATTGAAGGTAACAATATATTCAACTAATCAGATTAAACATTGTTTATACTAGTTAACAACATAACATCTTATTATTTGAGTTTATAATAGGTATGTGTTATAATTTAATTATAAATTTATAAATATTAAAAGTTAAATTAAAAAAAAAA